GCAGAAAGCAGGCTTGTGTCTGTATAATGCACGTACCACCATATGCCTAGTCTGAGCAGCGGAACAGGGTGTTGATTGACACCCTCACTTCACGGGAATCTGCCTCAGAGATCTCCAGGAAACTCTGATGGAGATACTGGGCAATCTGCTGCCGCAGGTTCTTTGGCAAAGTTGGTTTGTTTCTTGCCCCATTAAGGGTAACTTTCCTGTGCCACTCTGCCATCACTGGGGGGGGGGAGCGACCAGTGCTGCACACAGGGCGGAAGCCGCAGTCTTGGAGAAGACCCTCCCTTGATTCCCTGCTCATCCTCAGCAGCGAGATATCTTCTATACTGAACACAGCCTGTGGAAAATGTGGGAACAATAATGATTATAAGGCCCCCACTACAGTGCTGGCTCTCCCCAAGAGCCATCAGCCCAGTGTACAGTATGGTCCTGGAACACTGATTTCATGATGCACTCCGCTGCCAAAAAACAAGAATTGACGGAGTGGCAGGACAGCGAGAAGAGGGACCGAAAGGAGAACGCAGCATGCCAGAACAGAGCTACGGAGTGGCTCTTAAATGTTATGGAGTGCCAAGTGGACATACTCCAGGCACTACTAGCACTGGAAACGGAGCAGCTCCGCACCCGCCCTCCCCTGCAGCCACTGTCACAAAACTCTTTCCCATGTGCCCCCAGACACTGCCAACACACTTTGATGAACCTTCTGGCTCTAGTCTGTACCTGCTGCTTTCCACTCCTGCCCCGTCACAGTCCAGCCTTGCGGACTCCCAGTACCCACTGCACTCCCTCTGCGGTTTAGCTCTGCTGAAATCGGTACCCGCTGCACTGTACTCCAAAGGACAAGGTTGCATGTGATACCCAGACATATAGAAATCTTTAACCATCCTGGGACCCCACCTCCTCCTGGGACCCTCCCTTCCCCCATCCCCCACAGTGCTGATGTGTTTTTTTGTTTGTCTCTCTCCTCTGGTGGTTGTTTTTTAAGAAAATAATTGTTTTGGTTTAAAAGCCATCTTTATTCCATTAATTGAAAGCAAACAGAGCCCTGCAAAGCAACAGGCAATTTTTTTAAACCTTCATAGTGCATCATCTGCACCAGTCACAATCACCTCCTAGCATTACAAGCACTGCACTCCTGAGCATAGCAACAAATATTAGTGGCTTTCAGCTTCAGATTGCTGCCTCAAGGCATCCCTGATCCTTATGGCCCCATGCTGCGCCCCTCTAATAGCCCTAGACTCTGGCTGTTCAAATTCAGCCTCCAGGCACTGAGCATCAGCAGTCCAGCCCTGAGTGAAGCTTTCACCCTTCCCTTCACAAATATTATGGAGCGTACAGCACATGGCTGTAAGCATAAGAATTTTATCGGCCAGGTCCAGCCTCCTGTATAGACAATACCAGCAGGCCTTTAAACGGCCAAAAGCACACTCAACAGTCATTCTGCACTTGCTCAGCCTCTTGTTGAACCGCTTCTTGCTGCTGCCAAGGTTCCCCGTGTATGGTTCCATGAGCCACGGCATTAAGGGGTAGACGGGGTCTCCCAGGATCACAATGGGCATTTTGACTTTCCCTACAGTGATCTTCTGGTCCGGGAAGAAAGTCACTGCTTGCAGCTTCCTGAACAGGCCAGTGTTCCGAAAGATGCGTACGTTATGCACCTCAGCCTGTGTTAATGTCTGTGAAACGCCCACGGTGATCCACAAGCACCTGGAGAACCATAGAGAAATACTCCTTCAGATTAATGTATTTGGTGGCTAGATGGTCTGCTACCAGAATTGGAATATGCTTGCCATCTATTGCTCCTCTGCAGTTAGGGAAACCCATTTGTGCAAAGCCATCCACAATGTCATGCACGTTGCCCAGAGTTACGGTCTGTCGGAGCAGGATGAGATTAATGGCCCTGCACACTTCTGTCCAACAGTCGACTTTCCCACTCCGAACTGGTTAGCGACCGATTGGTAGCAGTCTGGAGTAGCCAGCTTCCACAGTGCAATTGTCATGTGCTTCTCCAACGACAGGGGAGCTCTCATTCTCATGTCCTTGCGCCACAGGGTTGGGGCGAGCTCATCTCACAGTCCCATGAGTGTGGCTTTCATCTTGCAAAAGTTCTGCAGCCACTGCTCGTCATCCCAGATGTGCATGATGATATGATCCCGAGCTCAAAAGCAGCATTCCACTGTGGTCAGCACCTCCATGAATGCCACAAGCAATCTCGTGTCGTAGCTACTATGCGTGGCGAGATCAATGTCGAACTCTTCTTGCCTTTATAGTTTAAGGAATAACTCCACTGCCACTCGTGACGTGTTAATGAGAGCGAGAAGCGTATTAGTCAACAGTGCGGGATCCATTCATGCAACCCGAAGGGGCAGAGTGTGCAGTACACAAACCGTTGAAAGATGGTGCCAAATACGGACGGAAGCACAGGGATTGCTGGGATGCAAAGCAGTGTGTCACCGGGCATTGGGACAGGACCAGGATACCCCGCGACCCCCTCCACCTTCCCACAACTCTTAGCGGCAGAAGAGGAAGAGATGCTCTGTGGGATAGCTGCCCAGAGTGCACCATTCTGAATACTGCTGCAAGTGCCGCAAGTGTGAACACGCTATTACGCACACAACAATGGTTTTCTTTCAGCACTCTCTGAGCGGCGATGTAACTCCGGTAGCATAGACATACCCTAAGACAACAACTTGTATTTGAACTATAACATATCTTCTAGAAATACTCCCAGCCTTGATTAATATTCGTCAAGCAATGGAGAACCCAGCACACTCCTTGGTAACATTTTTCATTTGTTAATTACACGAATTGTTAAACATTTGTGCCTTTTTTCCAGGTTTTCTGACCTAAACTTAGTCATTGGCTCTTGTTTTTCCCTTGTGTGCTAGTTTAAATAGCCCTCCACTATCAGCTGCCTGTATAGGTAAGTATAGACTGTGATTAAACTTCTTTTTGATACGATAAATAGATTGAGCTCCTTTAGTCTCTCACTCTCAGGCAGATATTTCAGACACAAAGCATTCTTGTGGCTCTTCTCTGAAATCTCCAGTTTGCCAGCATCTTTCTTGAAATGTGGCATCAGAACTGTAAAAGTCTCACCAATGCTGCATACAGAAGTAGTATCATCGCCCTACTCCGACTTGCTGTACCCCAATTTATACAGCCACGAATTGCATTTGCTGCCTTAGAGCACTGCACTGGGAGCTCATGCTCAGCTGCTTATTTGCCATGACCACAAGATCCCTTTCAGAATCCTGCCTTCCAGAATAAAGTCTTCATCCTGTACTGTAATCTACAGGCTCAGTTCCTAGATGTATGAAGTGTTGAAATACATATGGTATGATTGTACCAAGTTATCTATATTGCCCTGTATAAGTGCTTTATCCTTGTAATTACCACCTGTCAATTTGTCATTTGCAAAGGTCGTCAGTAATGGTTTCATATGTCCTTCCAGATCATTGATAAAGATATTGAATAATGTTGGGGCAAGAACTGATCCCAGTGGAATGTCAATAGAAACGCTGTTCCTGGACAATGATTCCCCATTAATGATACCTTTTTGCGATCTATTAGTTACCCGCTTTTTAATCCATCTAATCCACTTTTAAGCGGAATGTAATGCAGTTTTAAATCAAATGGTTTCAGAAGACAAAAGTGTATTATGTAGATAGTTATTACTTTCATCAATCAAACTTGTAATGTTGATTAGAATTAATTATATTTCCTTCCTTCAGTTCTTTGATAGTCCTGTATTTCTGGCTAACTGGCTTGTAATTCCTATTTTATCTTAACTACTCTTAAGCCTTGGCGCAGCAGTGGTTTTCTTGCAGGTCTCTGGAACTTCCCCAGTATTCCAAGATTATTAAAATTTAACATTAGTGGTCTGTTACTGTAATGATAGTGAGTGTTGGGCAGGAGAGAAGAAGAGGTTGAAGAATGGCATGGAGACAGGAGAGTTCTGAGCTGGCACTGTCTAGCTCTGCAGTACGTGCACCACGTGTGGTACATGGGTTGTGATCAGCTGGTGTGTGGGTTGATTAAAAAGAGACTTCAGTCTTTATTCTGAGCTCAGTAACGTACAGAATTGCTTAAAGAACATGTGAGAAGCTCCACATGTATATTTAAGATGAGTTAATTTTAAGTTGCTAAGGAAAGCAGAAGGAAATTCAGAGACAAGAACAGAGAATTAATCTACCCTGATCATAATTGACTGCGTGAATTGTGCAGCAGTACTGACAATGTTGCTTTTGAAGTGAGAGCATACAGGGGCACTCCCCTTTAATTTCTGTTCAGGGATGGAGAAAATAATGTCTCCATTGCCCACCCCCTCAAAGAACAAGGGGAAAAACCCCCAAAATCTTGTGACTGGCTAGAGGAGCAGCACTGAAAATACTCCTCCTTCTCCTTTCTAGCTGCTGACCTGAGTGGCTGAAAAGAGGAGGCAGCTGCAGAGCAGCCTTCTGCCATTTGGTGCTGCTGTGTCCTAGGATGCAGATTACAAATATGTGTTGCAGTTGCTCTTGAATTTTAGATGTAGTACACAAGGTCTTAAAACATGGAAACAATTGATTTAGCTGGATGGTGCTAAGAAAACTCGTGCCTCTGAGTTGAGACACCTTAATACAACTGAGTGGGCAAAGCTCTTGTAGGTGGGTCTGTGGAGTACTGGTGAGCCACATGGTACTAGCTCCTTCTCTTCATTTCCAGCTGACAAACCACATCAAATGAAGTTTAAAATATATACAGTACTCTCCTAATATCGTCCATGTAAGTATAGTATTGTCGTGCAATTATGAGCAGGAATGGAAATGGTCTGTGATCGAGAATGGTAGAGGTGTGTCTGAAATGTTCTCTGTGAAGTTGTGGTCTGCATTATAAAAAGGTTTGGGAGCATCTGCTATTAAGAAAAATCCATAGACGAGAGAGGGATTAGGGAATCCTTTTCATTCACTGACCGCAACATTGGTGGATGACCATGTGTTTTGTTCCCACAGATGACGTTAGTATGACTATGGCCCAGCCTGGGGCGGTAGTGGCAGCTGCTGCGGGAGTCCTAGTTCTTCTCCTCTACTCCTCCATTCATAAAGTTGATGAGGGCCACCTGGCAGTGTATTACAGGTACTATTCCAATGAGTACATCCAAGGTTCTCAACATTCTGGGTTTAATTCTCTCCATTACGGTTCATCCAAGGAAGGTCTTATGTAAGAGATTGCCCTGCTCCATGTTCTGTGCCTGGGCCTCATCTCAGGATGGGCAGGAGGGCTATTATTGCTGACTAAAGAGGTAAAAAAATTGACAACCTAATAATCATGAGATATTAAAAAAATGATTTCTAGTCTGTCTGGATTTTGAACTCCCCTGTCACCCTAGTGTGCGTGAAATAATTACAGGGTTAAAATTCAGCTTTAAATGCATACAGACAGGCTATAGCTCCCCAGCTCCCTCCCCCAGTACCCAGAGCCTTTCACGCAGCCCTATATGCTTGCTTCACAACTCCCACACTACTGTGTGCCTAGTCCCCAAGTCCCTCACGTCCCCCTCTACCTAGAGTCCTTCCTGTATCCCCGTGCAGCTGATCTGACTCCCCACTCCTTCCTGCACCCCTGTATGCCTGCTTTCCAGCTCCCACCAGGCAGACCTTTCCTGAACCTCTGGGTGCCTGATCCTGAACTCCTCACCCTTCCCTGGGCGCCTGTTCCCTGCCCAGCGCTCTGGCTTAGAGCCCTTCCCCGCTGCTCTGTGTGCCTAGTCCCCACCTTCCACTTTAGGAGGCCAGCTCCCAACTATGTCAAAAGGGAGCAGTGGGGGCAAAAAACCTAACTGGCTTCAAGACTGAATTTGATAAGTTTATAGAGGTGTGGTATGATGAGACTGCCTACAATGGCACATAGCCGATCTGTGACTGTTAGCAGCAAATAGCTCCAATGGCTGATGATGGAGCACTAGATGGGGAGGGCTCTCAGTTATTACAGAGAATTCTTTCCCAGGTGTCTGGCTGGTGGGTCTTGCCCACATGCTCAGGGTCTGATTGCCATATTTGGAATTGGGAAGGATTTTCCCCCCAAGTCAGATCGTCAGAGACCCTGATGGATTTTTGCCTTCCTCTGCAGCATAGGGCATGGGTCACTTGTAGGTTTAAACTAGTGTAAATGGTGGATTCTCTTAACTTGAAGTCTTTAAATCATGGTTTGAGGACTTCAGTAACTCAGCCAGAGGTTAGGAGTCTATTGCAGGAGTGAGTGGGTGAGGTTTTGTGGCCTGCGATGTGCAGGAGGTCAGACTAGATGATCATGATGGTCCTGTCTGGCCTTAAAGTTTGAGTCTACACAAGTTGTTTTTTGCCCAAGTTTTTAACTGAGTACGAATGACCGTTGCCCTATTCATGCCAGTTTGCCACAGGTCTTGTCTGCCTTAGGTTTGTAGCTATACTCAATGTGTGTCGTGCACTGGGACCGTGACCCGCACTGAACACAGGTGTCCTTAAGGCAGCAACACTGGTGTAAAAAGTCCAGCGTAAGCAAGACCTTAATCTGCTGATACTTAAGAATAGGGAATGAAGGAAACAAGTTACTTCTGTCACAATCTAGCCAATTGCTGAACTTTCCATGGGTACTGGCTGATGATAAACTACCTAGAGCAGAGCTCCCCAGACTGCTCTGTGGACTTCTTGCAGGCAGGCCATTGGATCCTCCTATTCATAGATTCCAAGGCCGTAAGAGACAGTTATGATCTCCTGTATAACGCAGGCCAGAGAACTTCCCCCCCAAAATAATTCCTAGAGCAGAGCTTTTGGGGGAGGGGAAATCCAATCTTGATTTAAAAATTATCAGTGATGGAGAATCCACCACGACTCTTGGTAAATTGTTCGAATGGTTAATTACCCTCACTGTTAAATTTTTTTGCCTTTATCGGATCATATTTGACCTTTCTCTGTTAGATTGAGGAGTTCATTATTATTTGTTCTCCGTATAGTTAGACTGTAATCAAGTCATTCCTTAACCTTCTTTTTGTTAAGCTAAATAGATTGTGTTCCTTGAGTCCATCACTATAAAGGCATATTTTCTAATCCTTTAATCATTCTCGTGGCTCTTCTTTGAATCAATTTATGAACATCTGTCTTGAATTGGACACAGTATTCCAGCATTGGTCATACCAGTGCCAAATACAGAGGTAAAATAACTGCTCTTCTCCTGCTTGAGAGTCCCCTTTTTATACATCCAAGGGTCACGTTAGCCCATTTGACCACACTATTGTACTGGAATCTCATTGTCTTCCTCCCTTCCCCCAAAAAATCTTTTTCAGTCACTGCTTTCCAGGATAGAGTATGGCCGACATTCTTAGTTCCAGGATGTATGCTTTTACATATGTCTCCATTAAAATGCATGTTGCTTGCTTGCTTACTAGGCGATCCAGATCACTCTGAATCAGTGACCTGTCCTCTTCGTTATTTACCACTCCCCCAATTTTTGTGTCATCTGCAAACTTTATCAGTGATTTGTTTTCTTCCAGGTCATTGATAAAAATGTTAAATAGCATAGGGCCAACAACCAATCTCGGCAGGACCCCACTAAAAACACTCCCACTCAATGATGATTCCCCATTTACAATTGCATTTTGAGAACGATCATTTAATCCATTTAACATGTGCCATGTTAATTTTACCTTCTAGTTTATAATCAAAATATCTTGTGCAACCAAGTCAACAAAAAATATATCAAATTAGTTTGATCTATTTTCCATAAACCCATGTTGATTGGCATTAATTATATTCCTTGACCTTAGTTATGGAGATATACCTATCTCATAGAACTGGAAGGGACCCCGAAAGGTCATAGAGTCCAGCCCCCTGCCTTCACTAGCAAGACCAAGTACTGATTTTTGCCCGAGATCCCTAAGTGGCCCCCTCAAGAACTGAACTCACAACCCTGGGTTTAGCAGGCCAATGTGCAAACCACTGAGCTATCTGTCCCCCCGTTCCTTCTGTGCTGTAGACACATCAGGCAAGTCCAGTTCCTCCATTGATTATGGTAACTTGCTAGTTGTGGCGTTTCTTCCTAGGCGATGCCAACACCTTCCTTTTCTTCTATCACTGTCTTCTGCCAATTCTTCCTTGGCCTTACTCACTTTCTCTTTCTTACCACAAGTACCCAATTCAATGCTTGCTGAGCATGTCTCCTATTTTCCATACAGTTTACATGCCCCAACCACCTGAACTTCTTGTCTTTGGTTATATTTTCTAACATCTCCTGCTTTGTCAGCCCTCTTACTCTTGTGTGAATCGTTCAGTGTCGTTTTTAGCCTTCTGGAATGGACAGCCCCCAATCTCTTTTTGTTAGCCACTGTTATAGGCCAAGTCTCTGCTCCTTATAGCAGCGTGATCCTTACAATTGCACAGTATAATCTGACCTTTAGTTTGTGCAGATCTCTGTGTGATCAGATGTTCCTCCTTCCAAAAATGGTGTTTGCTTTTCCTAATCTCATATAAGTATGATTATTATAGCCACTTGCAGATGTCGTCACTATCCCCAGATAGCAGAACTCTTCTATCTGTTAGATTTCTTTTCCATCCACTTTTGCATTTGTTGCCCAGTTTCCTACCTTCATAGTCTTGGTTTTCTCTGCTTTTACTTTCAATACTTTTTTATTATTATTATTATTATTGGCTTCCTGTTCTGCCTCAGAGGGCATCAAAACAAAGGGCAATCATTCTGTTTTGTGTCGTACTTAGTAAAGCTATGTTGCCTGCAAAGTCAAGGTCTTGTAACCCATCTCCACTTATCCATTATATACTGTCTACCATGCTGCTTGTTGCCCACATCATCACCCAGTCTATTGCTAATGCTAAGAAGATTGGTGATAACACACACCCTTGTCTAACTCCAGTCACAGTATTGAACCTCTCACCCAGGCCTGTAACTGATCTTACTGCGCATCTGTTTCCATAGCTTGTCTGGTCTCCCATTGCTCCTAGCAATATTCCACAGGGTCTCTGTGAACCCTATTGGATGTTTTCTTAAAGACGAGAAAGTTGAGTAAGGTGGGTTCTTGCCATGCAGTAGTTTTCCCAATGATCCGTTGAAGACTGAATGTCTGTTCCCAATGTGATGTACATCGATAGAACTTACCCTGTTAATTATATTACTCTCCTTTAATTCTTTATTAATTGAGTGCTGTATCAGCAGCTACATTATCTTGCCTGGGATCAATGCCAGACTGCTAGGCCTATAATTACCCAGGTTCTCTTGTTTACGTTTTTGAATATGGGTACATTAACTTTCTTCCGGAACTTTCCCAGTATTCCAAGATTTATTAAAAACCAACATTAATGGTCCAGCGAGCTCCTTAGCCAGCTCTTTTAAAATGTTAAGATGCGTGTTACGTGGACCTGCTGATTTAAAAAGGTCTAACCTTAGTAGCTGCTGTTTAACATCCTCCTACTTGTTTCCAGTTGCTAAATACCACTAACATAAGTTAAATGTACATTATTTTCCTATTATATTTTTCCACATAAGCAATTGCTGTAGATGCCACAGAGATTTTATGCGATTGTGGTTGAGAAGAGATGACCAGCGGACAGTCTCTCTTCTAAGATATGGGTGACCCCAGGACACTGTTTGGAGCCCCCAGTCCAAACAGTACTAAATGCAGAAACCAATGGCAGTGTAATTGTTACATTCCCCAGCATTTATGGAATGCAGAAATGAAATCTCACAGCCTCCTTCACTTGGCTATGGTTCTCACCTTGCAGGCTTTGCTTTTCTCTTTAACATACACAAATGGTATATTGAACTGCACCCTAACCAGATAAGCAGGAAATATAAGATCTGGGCTATGCTGCCCTTGGAACTGTCCCTTTTCGATTAAATAAATCATAAATATAATTGGGGTATTTCCCAGGTCAGCAAGCACAATGATGAATTCATTGTCACTTGGGGTATGTCTACACAGTAATTAAAAACCCACAGCTGGCCTGTGTCAGCTGACTCTGGCTCACAGAGCTCAAGCTATCGGGCTGTTTAATTGTGGTGTAGACATTAGGGCTTGGGCTGGAGCCCAGGTTCTGGGACCCACAAGAGGGGAGGGTCCCTGAGCCTGATCACCACAGGGTATTGAGTGCTAAAGTGTTCACTGATGTAATAGGGAAGAACAGTTCCCTTGACTGCAGGAATCATTGGGTGAGATTCTCTGGTCTGTGATACACAGGAAGTCAGACTAGATGATCTAATGGTTCCTTCTGGCCCTAACATCACCTTGACCTTCAGTTATTACATGCTCCGCACAGTGGACAAAACATCTGTTGCGTTGGGAGAGATCAGTGAAGAATTGAAGGTTTTTTTGCAGCCCCTCCAAAATGCGAGGGTCAAATCTGACTGGTCTTTAACTCCCTGTGTGGCTCATCACACAGCACACACCTGATAATGTTCTGCTGCACATCTTCAATTTTTCTACATTTTAAAATCTTTTCAAATGTTCCTAACTTCATTTAAAGTAAGTTGTTTTTGGACTGAGATGCCTCTCTTTGCCAAATTAGAAGTTTCAAAGTTCAGCTGTTTTGAGGTTTCTTCTGACTTCCCCCACAATGAGTGTAGTCAGATTTTTTTTTTTTTTTTTTAAGTAAGAAAAATATTTTTTTCTAATCTCTCCATTCTTAAATGGCTCAGCAGTTTTACCAATCTTTCTAAAAATGTCACCTTTTGGCAGAGACCGGCCATGGGAGTGTTCAACCCCAAAAATAAATCCTTCAGGAATTCTAAAAGTTAAATCTGGCTATTTCTAAAGGAAGCTGCTTTGTAGCCCTAACTGTAGAAGTTATCACCAACTGCTGTATTCATTAAGTTGATAATACTTATGACATCTGCTTTATGCTTGTCACTTCTGTTTGTGTTGTCGGGTGATCAGCTGTCATGTACTTCATGAGTTATCCAAATGGGATTTCATCTGGGCCAATCCTATATTAAACTAGGGCTAGTATTTCTCCTGTCTAAAGCATTAATTTTATCTGTGGTCAGAATGTTTGATGCATCTATTGTTTCTCATTTGGAGGGAACTGTGGTTTTAGAATGTGTCCTAAGCCCTCATGCCTAGATGTAGGAGACTAATAAGATGTGGGAAACTATATACACGTACACAAGAATTCACATAAACAGATCCAGTAGGGAAATATTTGCCTTGACTGGGCTTGTGGGAGCTGAAGTCCTTAAATGATGATGTGGACACTGTGGTTGTGTAATGTGTTAAGTCTGCCACTGCTTGGTTTCACAGACTTTTTATCTCAAACCTATGTGTGAAAGTTTGTATGCTAACTCTGGATATTCTTGTTATCCCAAGAATAAATGGGATATAAATGTCCCATCCTTTTTAAAATTTTGTTAAATTCATGGCCTCAACTACTTCATGTGGCAGTGAGTTCTACAGTTTAATCACGCATTGTATGATAAGGCACTTTTTTGTTCATTTTGAATTTTCCACCTTTTAATTGCACTGTGCATCCCCTTGTTCTTGTGTTGAGACAAGGATAACAGATGTTTCCAATCTCCCTGAGCAGTCGTCATTTTAGGTACTTCTGTCATACCCCCTCTTATTGGTCTCCTTTTCAAAGTAACAATCCCAGTCTTTGCAATCACTCTTCATATGAGTCTTTTTTCTAGGCCCTTGATCACTCTTGTCACTCTTCTGTGCAACCCATCTAGTTCTGTAGCATCTTCTTGGAGATGAGGGGTGACCAGTGCTATACACAGTGTCCACATGAGGCCGCACCATTGACTTATATAATATTCTCTGTATTATTCACCATCCCTCTGACATTTCCTCCTCCCTTGCCCCACATATTCAGAGTTTGATGCTTCCTCTCTAGCCGCTCCTAAGGGACTGAGGAGAGTAAATGGGCCTTGCATTGTGCCTAGGAATAAGGGAAACAGAATATTCTGTTATGGACAAGCTCTGTCCTATTTTTAGTGCACCTTGGGAAGCTGGTAGATTGGTTGTGTAAGGTGGAAGAAATGTAGACAGCAAGAAAAGAGCTGAATGTGGGATTGTGCTCTGTATAAACAGATGGTACAGTTCTGCAGCTCTGATACTGACGTTATTAGCATGCTTTCATTGGAAAAGTAATTAGCAACTCCTTGATAATTTGACTGAATTAATACATTTTTCTGTAATCTGTTACTTCTCTTTGGGATCCATCTTTAGCCATGATCCTTTTTATAACTTGCACAATTTAAGAAGTAAACTAATTATCCTGAAACAACCATCCCCTTGCTTGATAGGCTCTTCCCGATGCCTGACAAACAGTGGCTACACTGGAAGTTTTTTGTCGGCAGGAGAGCTGACAAACAGTGGCTACACTGCTCAATTGTGTAGTGTAGGCATAGCCTCTAAAACCTGGCTGGATTCAGCACAAAAATAAGTTTTAACTAACAATATAATTCTTTCCTCTGTTGCCCTGGGAATGTCCCCAGAATGCAACTGCAACATCGCAATTATTAGGCATCTCTTTGTTTCCTATGGTACTTGTGCTCTCAGAATGATGCTCAAAGCAGGTCAGCAAGTAAATTTCAGGAGTGGGTTTTTTATGAAGTTCAGTTAGTTAAAACTTCATTCCACTGTGTGCCACCTCACTTTAGCTTGCAGGGGGAGGAAGGGGACAACATGACACAACAGAGGCTTTCAGCACACACTTGTATCAGCTTCAAATCCCAATTTCATTTTGGTGTGCAGTGTTTCTTTGACTGCGCACATTTGTTCATGATAGCAGTGGTCTAGATGTTTCTTTTTTAAAACAAAAATTGAATTTATATAAATTAAATTCTTCTATTTCAATAGGTTTATTTAAAAAAAATAAAACTAGTTCAAAAGTGACAACCTATGTGAAGACCTAAACTTAAAATCTATTAAAATAACTCTAAATTAAATACAAATAATATTAATCAGTACATACTTGTTGCCAAGTTTTAAAGAAAGTGACACCACTGAATTGGTGAAAGTCACTGGCTAAGCACCTGAAACCAGAGTTTGCTGAAGTGCTAATCTTCTGACAGCAGAAACATCTACTACAGGTGCAGAGAGAATATTTTCTTCATTTCAGTTCATTCAACTAGTTCAGTTCAATGACTAGCTCATTCAAAGTTTGAGACTAACTGGGATTTGAAAAAGGATAGCTTGTTTTTCCTTTTCCAATCTCTGAATAAGAACTAGGTGTGAGAAATGAGATGTACTAGATCTAAAATCTTGAAAGACATAGTGACCAGAAACAATCAGTTCAGTTCACTAACTGCAGATACTTCCTTTGTTTAATAAATCGGTTTTAAATGCAAGACATGTTTTGACAAACTTTTTTTATGTATCCTGCACATTCAAGGTAGTTTTATTTAACTGAAAATTTAAAATGCTGGTTTTGTGCATTTTTAACTGATTTTGAATTTTCATTAATCTACTGAAAAGAAAATGATGAATGATGCATTTCTTAAACTTATTCAGATTCTTAATTTTTACTCTAAGCTAAATAGTTACCTAAATAGTATATCCTCCTGATTAGCAAATTATTCTTATTAGTAAAGTAAAGACTTATTAATAGTCTTATTGTAAAGACTGTGTTTAGTTGCAGATCAACATGCTTTAGTGGTAAACAATAAAAGAGAATCTGTTTTTTTTTTTTTTTTAGAAAATAACTATAAGTACAAATGCAAAACACTATTAAAATTAATTATTTAAATCAAAGTTTCCTGCTTGCTGATTTAAATCATGATTACAATTGGTGATTTAAATAGCTTTGATTTAAATCAATCTCCCAGGATAGACCATCGAGGGGGAGTAGCTCTGCATGTTTCTGTAATATTGGTTCTAACACCTCAGGGTAGCTATGAGTTTATTGCTAGGCATAGAGTGCCCGCACAGCCCCTGCATTACCAGAATCCACCTGGTCACTTAGAGATCCCTTGACTATGAATGGTGCTATCCACAGTGCCAGCCTCTTAGCAAAGCCCTTGGGTTAGTATGCACTCCTCTGTGGGATGTTAATGTGGAAGGAAGAGGAGGATACTGAAAGTTGTGACTTGATGTGTATGTAAAATAGTGTTTTCCAGAGCTCTGTTTTAGAAGGAAGATAGTCTCTGATAGCAGCCTTGGTTTATTTTAAATTCTAGCTCAGGTACTACTGAAGGTCTATGCAGGGTTGTGTTACTGGAAAAGGCTTAGCAGGAATACCCCTCTTGTCTAATTGGAAGCTGCATATTTTGTACGTCGCTAGTGTGAAGCTGGCAAACTGAACACAGCAGGTACAGGACAAATGTTATTTTGTACCAGTACCCCATAAAAGAGCTGATGAAATCAATAATTCCTGGGAAACTTTTTGTATTTAGTCTGCATTGAATAGCTTGCTCTTTAGTCCAGTGACTTATTAGGTCACAAATATATTTTCTTTACCATATGTTTCTATAACACTGTGTATTAATGCAGCCCTGTCAAATTTGATTTGCCTGGGCAAGTGACTTGTTTTGTTTTTGGAGGGTGAGCAAAATAATCATTCTCACCCTTCCATTGTCAGTCATGGTAACAAGCAGGCTAATAGAGCTTGTCTGAGTTGTTGTGACTTATTGACCTATAGAAGCTTGTGGCCATGTCTGTCCAGTACTCTGAACACTTACCAGAGGTCTGGAAGAGTCAGTACATCTAATTCTTCAGCTTCTTGAGAACTGACCCATTTGTCTCTTCACAGGGGTGGTGCCTTATTAACCAGCCCAAGTGGACCAGGCTATCACATCATGCTCCCATTCATTACCACCTTCAAATCAGTGCAGGTTAGTAACTTCTCACAGGGGAGCTGGAATAGGGTGGGGTTGTATGGGGTATCTGTCAAATATGACAGTGGAGCTGGAATTTTGCCTAAATAAAGGCCATGTTAACCAGTTCTCAGTAGCATAAGAGCACACTAGTTTGGCCCACTGATCAGATTGTAGCCACCCTCCTCTCTGATGTTGGGGTGCAACCCCTGGTATGCCCATAGTACTACAGCTTCCAGTATGCAGCATGGCCTGTAGCAGCTGCAGGTCCCAGAAATCAATGATCCATTTTGCTGCAAGAGGCCAGGCCCCACTGCACATGGCTGTGCACTACTTAGTAGATCACCATGGACTACATTTGGTCTATTGCCTTTTGTTGTGCTTTGCCCTCCCCTGAACTGTTACCACTACAGTGAGTTTGGAAGGGCTGAATGAATTAATCTGCTTCACTGTGGCTATAGGTGCTGGTGGCTTCCTGACAGCATGTAGTGTGGAAACACCCTGCACTGCAAATGAATGTGGGCTCCATGCTGTTTTTCCAATGGGAGCTCTTCACTGGCGCAAACAAAAAGCTACTCGCTGACCCTGGGGCTCCTGCCTTGGGACGCTTCCACTGTCGACACCATGTGTCTTCCCAATACTTGGGTCCGCAAGCATTCACTTTGCCATTTGCCAGGCAGGGAGCTGCAATCCTTTTGGGCACTGAGGGAAGGAGAGGAAGGGGGAAAGAGAATGGAGTTCCCTGCACCATCCCCTTCTTCCTCAACTGTCACAGGGAGTGGGTGCTAGAGAAGTTCCTTCTGCTCCCTGCCTATAGCAGCCACAACCCCCAACAGCCTGAAGAGTGGTGCTCCTCCTAGTGTATCCTCCCCATTCTCAGCAACCATTACAGAGCATGAGTGCTGAGCTTCCAGTGAGCGTGGCCTGAACTGGGCTAGAAAGTTCTGCAAGGGCCTGTCTAGGGCTTGGCTGTTGACTGGTAAGTGACTGGTTTCTCTGTGAGCCCTGATTACATGTCTCTTGTTTCAGACAACATTGCAAACTGATGAAGTAAAAAACGTGCCTTGTGGGACGAGGTATGTTGCTCCTGTATGTTCTTCCTGGATGTGGCAAGCCAATGTGATCGGTCTAATTCTCAACTTGTGGCTAATTCACTCGTAGGCGCTAGCTTTTGAGGGGGGTTGGATATGACATAAAGCCTGTTCAGAGTGTTTGTCTGGAAACATAGTGGATATGGGTGGGAATAGTAACGGTTACTCTTACATTGCTCCCTGCTGGGGCCAGAACTGACTTTCTGCAGTTGTCTGTGCATCAGTGCCGCTTTCTCAAGGGTGTGTTCTTGTCTGTCTCTCTTGTTTTACCTTTCTCCTGTTATCTGATCCTCCATCACTCGTTCTTTCCCTTAACCAACCTCTTAGTGCTTCTAGTTTGGAATTTGCTCTCTAATGACAGAAGCCCGACCACTGATTTCCATGATATCCTAGGAAAATAAGAACAGCATCCCATTGGATTGGGCTTGCACAGTTGGAATGTAGTCCCACCACCTGAAATGAACCCTGACAAAAAGCCAGGATCTGGTTCATCGCAGACTAATTGTCAGTCTGGATGGTCAGAAACTTTCTCTGAAGTAAAAGAGCAGATGAATGTTGTACAAGATGCAAACCTTGTAAGTAAAGTTTAGCACTTCAATAGCATTTAAATATCCAAGTGCTGTCTAAGCATTAGTTAAAGTAGCAGTAACAATGCATTGTGTGTGCAGTGCTTATCTTCACAAAGTATCCCAAAGTGCTTTATTTATACACATGTTCATGGATTGTTAATGTTGCAAAATCAACCTCTTGGGTCTGGAAAATTCTAGAACTGAAAGTTTCTTCTGAAATGTTAACCTAGTTATATTGCACATCCTGTATATTTTATGGCATAAGTCAGTAATATTCCACTCATTTCTGTGGGTCAGTTAACGAGATCCTGCCACAAAATGAAACACCTTTCTTGAATTATAGACCAATCAGCCTAACTTTGATACCTGAAAAGGTACTGGAACAAACTGTAAGCAATCAGTTTGAAAGTACCTAGAGAATAATAAGGAATACAGCAGGTCCGCGGTATATGTCAGGGTTGTGTTCTTGAAAAGGGTCATGTATACTGAAACGTTGTATACCGGGGACCTGCTGGTACAGCAGTGGCATGGGCAGGAGGGGGGTTGGGAAGCGGGGGCTTCTACTCCGCCCGGCGCTTCTGCTGAGGCGTGGGAGCTTCTTCCGCTGTGCCCGGCGCTCCTGCCAGGGTGCGGGAGAGCAGAGCGGGCTTGCAAAGCCCCTGCTCCCCGGCTGGAGCGCCGGGTGGGTGGTGTGGGGCAAGTGCTGGGGAAGAGGGAGCTGGATGTATACATCTCCCCCTTATCCCTTATTTTGCATATCTATCGCTGATCAGTAGGGGAACGTGTTCCGATTCACGTTGGTCCGCATATCCATCGTTTGCAACTTACAGTACAGTACTGCAAACGATGGATATGCGGATCGGGACCGACGTGAATCGAAACAAGTTCCTCTATTGATGAGCGATGGATATGCGAAACAACGGATAAGGGGGAGACATATACCGGGGACCCCCTGTAGCCAGCATAGATTTGTCAAGAACAAAATCATGCCAAATCAACTTACTTGACTCCTTTGACAGGGTTACTGGCCTAGTGCAGAGTGGGGAAGCAGTAGATGTGATGTATCTTCATTTTAGTAAGGCTTTTGGTTCAGTCTCACATGACATTCTCATAAGCAAATAAAATTACTATAAAGTTGAAAGACCGTACTCAGAGTAGTTATCAGTGATTTGCTATCATACTGGGAGGGTGTATTTGGAGAGGCGCCACAGGGGTCAGTCCTGGGTGCAGTAGTAATCCAGTATTCTCATTAACTACTTGGATAATGGAATGGAGAATATGCTTCTAAAATCTGCAGATGACACCAAGCTGGGGGGAGGGGTTGCAAGCACTTTGGAGGAAAGGTTTAGCATTCATGATGACCTTGACAAATTAGAGAAATTGGACTGAATTCAACAAGATGAAATCCAGTAAAGATAAGTGCAAAATGCTTCACTAGGAAGAAAAATCGAATGAACATCTACAAAACGGGGAATAATTATGTAAGTGGTAGTACTGCTGAAAAGGATCTGGGGGCTGTAGTGGATCACAAATTGAATGAGTCAGCAATCTAAGGCAGTTGCAAAAAAAAGACTGATCTTCAGGGGTGTATTAAGAGGAGTGTTGTATGTAAGACATGGAAGGTAATTGTCCCGGTCCACTCAGCACTGGCGAGGCCTCAGCTGGAGTACTGTCCCCATTTCTGGGCTCCATGCTTTAGGAAAGATGTGGACAAATTGGAATGTCCAGAGAAGAGCAACAAAAATGATAAAAGGTTTAGAAAACCTGACCTCTGAGGAAAGGTTAAAAAAAAACCAAAAAACGGGGCATGTTTCATCTTGAGAAAAGATGACCGGGGGGCAGGGGGAACCTATAACAGTCTTCAAATATGTTAAGGGCTGCTGTTGTAATAACGAGGACTGTGATCAGTTGTTCTCCATGTTTAATGAAGGTAGGACAAGAAGTAATGTGCTTAATCTTTAGTGAGGGAATTTAGGTTAGATATTTAAGAAAAACATTCTAACTATAAGGGTAGTTAAAACTCTGGAATAGGCTTCCAGGGGAGGTTTTTGAACCCCCATCTGTTGGAATTAATATTATTTATGCAGGGTGTTACCATGGCACTAATTTAACCATAAATTCCTGTATTAAATCCAAAGGCCACTTATACAATTCCTCTAAACATTCCTTAAAAAGCCTAAATAATCAATGTACTACATCCAACAGCAACAAAACATTTATAAACGTTTGATCAAGATACTTACAAACGGGCTAAACCCTGGGGTGCTTAGACCTGTATTGGTTGGCTCCAGCATGGTCAGGCAGGTATTAGCAATCTTTGAGTTTACTTTTTATACCCTTCAACAAATAAGTGATGTCATTCCCAATTACTAATTTTAGCTAAAAACCCATTTGAGACCCCCCCCCTCCCCTGATGTTCACTGCACCATCACTCTGTCCCCTACTAGCCAATCTACACTTTGGGCCGGTTTGTTAAAGTATGCCCTCATTTTGGCATGAACCTGCCCCTGTTGCTGTGCCTGGATAAATCCATGTTTTGTTTTCCCTGGTGGATAGCTTTTAGCATAAACCAGGCAATTGTTAATATGAATTTTTACATCTTTTTTTTTACAATGGGGCCACCACGCTGCCTTAATTAGTCACTAATAAGTGGTATCAGCATTTTGGTGGGCCATCGATGGCACATCATGCACCAGTCTTAACATTTCCCTGTTAAGGGGCTGTGGTGGAACTTTCCCTGGGTAGGAGTGATTTTACCATTTAACTCCCCAAGCATTACTTTTTGTGTAAGAGGATATCTCTGGATCAGATTCTTGCAATGTTACTAAATCAATGGTTTTTGCTTATGCTCAAATGGTAAAAGCAAGAACTGGATAATCGGGCGTGGGACCACACCAAAGCATGGCTATTAGCAGCTTCATTCACTCTGTTTTTCTTGCTCACTTCCCCATGTCTGGTATGAGCTTTTACTTTATCCACATATACCACTGAGTTAGCCCATTTACCTGCTAGTTCCCACATATAGGACAAAAGGGCTTGATAGCATAAAGGCTTGTAATCTGCACTGCAAAATGAATTTGCACTACACCAAGGGAGGAGGTTGTTAAGGCATCACAGACCCTTACAGTCTGAACATATTACACTAGCTGGTACTTGTCCTTTATTACTGAGTGATAATGCCTCTGCTACAGCAGCCAGCACAGTATACAATGTGTGAACTACAACTGTGTTGCACAGGTTCACCGTGAACCGAGAGAGCCCAAACCATAAATTCTGTGACGGGTCCCTTTTGGTATTAGGACAACCCACTAGCATATATTGTCAGACCCTCAGGGTGCAGCCCGTCAGAATTTAAATGTATGTACTGCACATGGATAAAAGGGATAGGGGCCCCTCGTGAGAGGGAATTTCTCTAGGACACTTGTATGGATTACCATTAATGAATAGTCCTGCTGGCAAAGGTGAGGGTTGTTTAAGAGGACAGAGTTCAGTTTGGTGCTCTTCCAGCAGCAGGAACCATAGTGTCAGTCTAGGACTAGACACTGTACCGTTTTTAATTTTACCAGACAGAAGACACTGTAGAGGATGATGAGCAATGTACATTTTTATGCGTCCCAACCCCACCAGATATCTGAAAAGTTCACAGCAAAAATTGGTTTTCATAGGGAGTAGACTGCTTTTCAACTCCATTGAGTACTCTGGAAGCGTAAGCTTTCTCTATCACAATAGTCCTGAGTTAACGCAGTTGAAATGGCTGTGTCCTTGGTTGCTACAAACAATCCAAAAGCCAAAAGGTACAGTTGCTTAAAACATGCCTAAAAAGCCTAATAATAAGCAATTTACTATATCCAACAGTAACAAAACATTTATACACATTTGATCGAGATACTTAAACGGGCTAAACCCAGGATTGCTTAGACCCGTATTGGCCAGCTCCGAAATGGTCAGGTAAGTATTAGAAATGAACCCTTTTAAGAGTTTACCCTTCAAGTTCACCCTTATTTCCAGTCTTTATCTAGGTAAGATTTACAACTTCCTTTCTTCCTAAGGCCTTTCCTCCCCTTCTTCTTGCTGACGCAACAGTTTGTCAATTGCCTCTGGGTTCACGTAGGCTTTAACACAGGTGTGTGGGTTGAGAAGAGCCATGTTTGGCTCATTTTAAGACAGATCTTTTTTCACATCTATCAGTCAGAGGCCTTCTTTTTAGAAACTTCCCCTTATCTCATTAGTTATTCTTTGAACCAAACATCCTCCCTACTTCATTCCTTCTGGTCTTATAACTCATTATTTTCAATGAATTCTACTTGCTAGTGACAGCCTTTCTTTACAACACACACATTTCGTTAACTAAACTTAAGTTAACCTTAATTTTTTAATTTCATATTTATCCTACACTATCATTAGAAGTTTTTATTA